GGGGCTTTTCGCAGAGTTATGAAAGAAGAATGGTAACAGATTACAGCTGAGGAAACAGATAAGTTGGTAAGATCAATGCCAAATCGATTGAGCGAGGTTTTAAAATAACAAACTATTGAATTTAATTTTGTTAATACTTTTGTAACTAATTTTAAAGCTGAACGCAGACTTAGTGGTGCCTATGTTTACTTCTTCTTACACTAAAATCCCGTTATCACAAAAATTAAAATAGGAATATACATTTTTGTTTTTGCATTTTAAACTTAAAGATATAAAGAAGAAATACACGTAGAAAATTTGAACTGAATTCCCTATTTACATTGTGTTTTTACTTCACTTAAAAAATAGTGTCGGGTGAACGCAGACTTTATTGGCTATGTGTATATGCTGTAATAAATCGCCCTGAGCGTAAAAGGTACTAGAGGAGGACTTAGCCACTGCATAGATATACAAGCAACAAACGAATCATATAGTTGTCAAAATTTTCACACAGCTGAAATCATCTGATTGAAATACTTAGATTTTTCGGCACAGAAATTTAAATAAAAGAAATGTAAAATATGATTTTTTTTGTGAAAAATGGAATGTGGTTTTAATGGAAAAGCTTATTGGAAACTTTTAAGAATGTCTCTGAAACAAAATTTTATTACATATTTATTGTTTTTTTTAACACCTCTGGGGCTGCAATGTAGGCGCGTTACCGATAAAGCTACATTTTATCACAATATTCACAACTATAGTATACTTCTATATACACCATTTTTTCTATTAACAATTGAGAAAACTTCATCCTATGACAAGTAGAGTCAAAAAGTTATGTATAAATATCTGGAATTTTTGATAGAAAATCTATGAATTTAGAGGATGGTTTTACTAATTGGAAAGTACTATATTGCTTTTCGGAAGTAAAGAAGACAAATAAAAAAGTTGTGCATAGATAAATATAGCCATTTACGATTAAAGAAAAAGTTTGGTTTACAACTAAACAGACGAAGGTCGTATTTTTTTGGCTCTGCAAGTTTGAAAAAATACTCAAAAGATATTATAATTGGAATTATACTAAAGTATGTATCAGAGCCACAAATGTTGACTTATGATACGAAACTATCTGAATTGGTAAAACATTGTAAAACCAGAATTTTGCAGAAATATAAGAGTCTTTCATATTATAAATCTTTCGGAATAAATTTATCTAATGGAAACATTTTTTTGATATATTTGGTGGGTTTTGAATTTTAAAGCTCAACCGTAATTCTTTTAAATTAATTTCGTTCTAATGAGCTATGAACTTGTTATGTAACTTAGGCGGCAAAGCCACCAAGATAGTAGCATGTGCGGACGCTATTACTTTTTTAATAACAGGAAGATGTCTACATACCATTAGCAATATTATGACCATCACTCCAATATTAGCACTGTACTGGCATCGCAAGCTAGTCTGGGGTTGAATCCGGATGAAACTGATTTTCCTGTTGTCACAAAGAAATACAAAATCCCTCCATGAAGGCTAACTTCGATAAATGAGACAGAACTCTCGCTTCAAGATCGCATCAAGTACCTTGAAATAGGCTTACAATGCCTTACATGGATGAAGGCAAATGCTCGGCATAACCCTTTCTCCCTCGCTCGTGCACTAGTGCTACACAGTAATAGTAAGACCAACTCTTCTATTCTACGGAAATCTACTCAGTGGTTAACGGCGGTTTAACAGGCAGTATACATATATCAAACATAGGTTTTTACTATTGAAAAAGTCGCGTGACATACTCGTGAACACCCAACCAGAAATCAAGGCACTTACCTCGTTTCGCATAGCGACCAAAAGTGTCTTGGTAAGCAGGGCAGTAGTGAAGAGTGTCGCCAGGAACAAGCGGCTTAACTTCTACGGGGAACCAGGTCAGAAAGACATCGAAGCAACATGATAGTGGACGAAATTGCCTAGAATAATGTCCCATTGTTATCCGGAAGCGCGACCGACATTGGTAAACTCTTGCATTTCCCATACAAAGATCTAGATATGAGAATGACAAGGAAGGTCAAACGCGATGGATCGATCTAGCGGAATGCAAAAGTCATACGTAAAGCGGTAGGTCAGAAATGCACGAAGTTCTGCTGGCAATCGATAGATGGGGCTGTAGGAACATGGTTGTAATGCTCACAGGTCTTTTGGCTGCACACGCCTGCGGAATAGGGAAACATTTCAAGAAGACTGCAGGAAATGTCAAGAGGAATGCACCATTGAAACAGTGGAGGATCTTTTGTGGACTTGTCTCGTATTGGCAACGCTTTAAGCATTTTGGGGCCTCTAACACTGGAAGAGGTATCGTAAATGACATTACAGAGAAATTCGCGGCATCCTAAAGGATGACTACTACTCATGGACTACTTGACCGCACTGTATCTGGTATTGCTAAGGACAAAAACTGGTCTATGCTTGGTGGTATATTAGCCTACCAGACTAACCTAACCAATCATGGTTTTGTTTTGTACGAATCCGTGATCGGTATTTTATTTAAATATATAATAGACTATTCGCCTTGTATATGTATATTTTACTTTTTATAACACTTGCGCACATTGCAACTAATATGGTTGTTTTTGATTGCATTAAATCGGCTTAGATTTATTTTAAATCACATAAATATTCACCTGTTAGTTTGAATCATTTTAAATTGAAGCTGCGTGCAATTATTAAAGGGTTAGGGAAAAACAATTTACTGGTTCTTAAAGATAATGTGTAGAAGAAACAAAAACATAATTTCGTACTTCATTGCTCCAATTTCCTGAATGAACTGTCTGCACTGAACCGGTTCAAAATATAACAATGTAAGCTAATAAGTAAAAGTTGGTAGAATATTATATAAATTTTATTGAAAAATCGAAATATTTACAAGGTGCGTTCCAAAGTAAACAGTAAAAAAGTAACAAAGTAAACTCTAGTGGCGTCTATCTATATGTCGACTAGTGCGTTAGAATCTGTTATCCTTTATCGACTTCCAGTAAAAATTTTATGACCTTTCATCTACTGGAAGTGAAGTTATTGCGTTTTAAGTGCCAATATGTTTTTGTCATCGGTGCGAAAATGAGCTTCGAACAAAGAGCCAACATTAAATATTGTTTTAAAATTGGTAAAACTATTACCGAAACATTTCAATTGATGAAATATATTTATGGCGATGATTGCCTATCCCGTAGCAGAGTGCACGAGTGGTTTCAAAGTTTTTAAAGTGGTCGTGAGGGCATAAATGAGAAATGAGCCGAAACCCAAAAAATCGCGGCTGTAGAAGTCAAAAGTGAAGACAATGCTGATTTGTTTTTATGGTTCCAAGGGTATTGTTCACAAAGAATTTGTTCCACCCGGCCAAAACGATAATGTGGAATTCTACCTTGGAGTTTTGAAGCGTTTGGTGCGCCGTAATCAACGTGTTCGGCCCGAATATCTCGAAGATGGAAGTTGGCGTTTGTTGCAGGATAATGCGCAGTCTCATCGATCGACGCTTGTGGCCGATTATTTGACCAAAAATCACATTTTAACAATCAAACACTCCTCGTATTCACCTGATATGGCACCGTGCGACTTCTACCTTTTCAGAAAAATGCATTTGCCGATGAAAGGAAAGCGTTATGCAAACGTGGAGGCCATTCAAAAGGCTTGCACCGGCATACTGGCGGCCATACCGGGCAACGAGCTAAAACACTCGTTCGACATGCTTTTGAACCTTGCAAAAAGCTGTATTAAAGCAGAAGGAGAATATATTGAATAAAATTAATTGATTTTGCCGTTAAAACAATTTGTTCTGTCTTTTTTTTTTAAGTTTTGTTTACTTGTACCTTGTATTATTCGATTCGATCCAATGTCTGAATTAATACCTGAGTTGTTTAAGTTAGTTGTTATTGATATCACACTTTTTACTTATGTTATCGCCCGGAAATCCACTTTTCTCAATTCAGGTTGATATGTACATATGTTATATACCTTAATTATTTTAGGATGTTACAAACAAGTTAGGTAATCAAAAAATATATTTGTGTATTCAGATTACATTTGCACTCAATTCTCAACCCAAGTACGGCAGTATGCACGGCACCTATACCTTCGACTCGCCACAAAAATTAGTCTCTCTTTAATTATGCTACCTACTCTAGAATCTACTGGGTGAATGCCAGAAACCGAGCATTTACCAAACTATAAATTTACGACACTATAATACTAAACCCAACTATACGAATATTAAAAAGCATTGCAGACGGACTCGATAGTTAGTTCGTAATCATTTTACTGATCCCCTTGAATGCTTTCAGCACTCAGTAATAGTCCATGACTATAATTATCAGTAGAATTTCCCTTCTATTACGGAAAAAAAAGTTTCGTCATCTCTTCACCTTAAGACTCATTATTGGTAGTTGTAGAAGCGTATACAAATAAATGTTGAACCTGAACCTCAATCATGCAAAATTTGTACTTAAAAGATAACTGTTTACACAAACTTATGCAAGGCAATCTCTATCTTTTTGTATACATTAATACATAACACATTTTAAGTCAATTGTACAAAAACGACCACTTTTGAAACAAAATTTTTAAATCCGGATTATTAAGACCTGATTTTCTGATATATGAATAAGTTAGCTGTTAATCATATTATATATAAATAATTTAATATTAGCTTTAAATATCGTCTTCACCGCTCTACTATCTAGTTAGTGTCCTGACTGTAAATTCTTTTAAGAGCAAGCAGTGTGTATATAGAAGGAGCTTTTTGCAATAATTAGCAATTGGTCGAATGCTATTATTTGATAAATTTAAACAAACATACTCAACATAATTGTGACCAATCATTGTAAAAACACGGGTTTTATCATCTGCCGGTTAAGTTCGAAATAAATGCTTAATTTGACTTGGTTTTATAATATTTTTCTATAGTTTGTACTTTGTGATTCACTTTATTAGCAGTTATAAATTTTAAAATTGAAACAATGACACTGACATATTTTCTCACCTCTCGTCAAAAAGTTTTCTGAGTAGGACAATTCTGATCCAGATTCATCATCCTTTTTATTTGTCCATTTAGGTTCCAAGGATAACTTGTTTGCAGCTAACTTTGAAATAAATTCCGAATGACGGGTTTTTGGTTGATCCGCTCTTTCACATTCAGCGTCTGAAGTGTTTGCTCCAATAAACGACATAATTCAAAAATTATCAACTAAACAGTCGTCTTTAATAGAATGAACTGAACACAAATAAAAGAATGTTACTTTTATATACAACATGAAAGGTTTGTTTTTTTTAGTATGCGCTCATCTACAAACCACAAAATAGTAATAGTGCTATCAATCCCATAAATTCGGGATTAGCAAATAAACTTGAAAATATTAAACAATAATTGAATTAAGATTAAATAAATTGTAGACTTTATAATATATAGACTATGAAGCAGGTAATTGTAACTAAGATGTAAACTAATAAAAAGACACACAAAAAATATAATTACGTTATACATAAGTATTTGCAAACGAGTCACCTTCAATTAAGTATTTTGCTTATTAATTACACGTTTAAGTTTAAAGTTTGGAGTGCGAATGAATAGATCACTTGCGTTACCTTTATTATTTTATTATAGTAAAAACTAAGTAATACTATGTAATAATGTAAATATAAATACACAAATAATTCGATTCGTAAGCACAATCATTTCAAGACCCGAAATAAAATTAAATACGTGTACCTACATACATACAAGTATATCCACCCAACAAACCATAATTTAGAAGACAAGCATACGCACGTATCGAAGTACATGTGTATACATATTTGTATTTTTTCGCCACATTTACTAAAGTTGTTTCTCCTTTCCAAATATGGTTTTGGTTCTCTCAATATTGTTCATAGGTCATGCATCACTTAGTTAAAGTCAGAGTGCGGTTATATTATGCGTAGATACATACATATATATATATGGTATGTATATATAATTATGTGTTTACCTAAACATCTCCAATCTTCAAAGGAAGGCTGCGGCATTGTGAATAAGATGTTCAAAAGGGCAATTTCAAATCTGGGAGACATAAGCTTGTGCATCGAGCGGTTCAATTATGTCAATAATTTTAAACAAATTTCCATGAAGATCCTTTCTTCCCTTTGTTTGGTAGTAGATAGTTTTTTAATATTTAGTCCAAATGATCGGATTCCAACATAACCTTTAATAGTTTGCATTACTCTCGGTCTTTTGTCTCCGCTTAATAAAAACTTTGCCTCTAACCTTTGTACTGCTTGTGTCATGAATCTATCTTAAATGTGCACTCTTAAATATATTTTTGCTTACACACGTACGTCAACAGACGTGTACTTTTATTACAACTTGTAAGAACTCGCAGAAAGTTTTATGCAGAACACAAGTAACGCTCAACAAACCTAAAAATTAAAAAAGTTTCATAAATATATATATAGTATATATATATAAATATATTTTAGTATTAACATAATTAAAAGAGGTGCAGAAATATGTAAAACCAAAAAAAACAAGATATAAACATTTTCGGAAATCTTGTTAAGTGAAAATATAATTTATCTGTTAGTACTTTATCTATATATCCTACGTATTTAAGCTCATACTTACAGAATTAAGAATTATGCATCCACAATATCATAAATACTTATAGATATATCCTACTGGGTATGTTAGAGAGTTTTTCAACCGTCGGTAATAATTTGTTCATTCGTCTTAATGAACGTTTCTATGTACGTACATGCATAGTATGTATGTATGTGTGTGGGCTTGAAACTTTGGCGTAGAGCGGAAACACCATATATGACCAAGTTTTATTCATATACTTACTTACAAAATATTTCTTATGCATATATTTACAAGCACATTTTTATAAGACTCTATTGCAGATATTTATTGAGTTTGAAGGTCGAACAAAATAAAAATAAAGAAACAATAAGGCAGAACCAAACTCATTTGATTGACATATTAATAGTTTTTATACTTTACAACATATCGATCGTGACATTGGTTTTTAAATTCTAACCATAAAATATTTCAACATGGAAAAGCTTGTACTAGAATTTAAACGATTTTTAACAAATTATGTTTTTATACTCTCGCAACCTGTTGCTACAGAGTATAATAGTTTTGTTCACCTAACGGTTGTTTGTATCACCTAAAACTAATCGAGTTAGATATAGGGTTATATAAGATAATGTTAATGAATAGAGAAGGAGCAAATGTTAAATGAAATCTTTTTGAGTACTAATTTGTAGTTCCAGATGAGGGAACATCGAAAAATATAACTTCGAAAAAGAAAAATGCACCACGCAATGTGCGAAATGCTATAAATAGACACAAAGAATATTCCTAAATGAAAAATCGTTGCGCATACTTATTAGATTTAAGTTTTCAATATCTATGATATAACAAATTTATAATTATGAAAAGGCTTCTGAATTAAAAATCTGTATTACCGGTAAAAACCCCAGAATTCATAATAAAATAAACATTTAATAGGCTAGTTTTCCAACTTATGTACTTATGTGCGTTGAGTGAGTAATTGCTTATTGAACAAAAGATAACAATAAAACGGTGGCTAAGCGGCCGCGTTTCCACTTTTGTGGTGGTTCAGGTCGTAAGCGCGAAGGAGTAAAGCTCATTCCGAATACGAGCATATAAGGTCGAATCCTAAAACTGATGTAAATTGAATTTTATTTAATGTTTTTATGTTATTAATTGGAGTCTCTAAGCATATCATAATTCAATTTCTTTAATAGCATATTTTATTTAATACATATTTTACTTCTTTAATAGCATATTTTACTTCCTGATATAATTAAAATATATTTATCAGGAAAATATGTTCATATGTTTAGGTTTATTGAATATTTCCTTATTATGCGTATTTACACAAATGTGATAATCACACATACATTCTTAAATACACGTACGCTGATGCTTGCTTCTTCTTGCCCCGCACAAGCAAAGACTTTTGCCGTCACTTTTTACTTTTGCGAGTTGAACGGTCGCAGGCAAGGAGGGATTGGGGCGCACTGCCACATAATTATTTCAGATTTTTATTTTATTTATCGAATTTAGTTTAAAAACGATTATAGGTATGAATATATGTGTATTTATATATATATATAATATATACTATATTACGAAAATAATTCATAAATGCATCAGTATTTTTCAATACAAATTAAGCAACATAATAATATACTAAGAGTCCTCAGTTAGAACGCCTCTGTGTATAGTGGCAAGCCAACGAAATAACGGCGAGTTCGCGCAGACATTGTGTTGTTGAAAAAAACCAAATGAGGACTTTGTCCACAAACACACATATGTATATACATACATACATACATATATGAGCTCGCATACATATTGACCAAATTGTGTGAATCGTCTCGGAGTTGACAAAATTTGTTTGAATCGACAATTTTGCGACAATATCGGTCGGCTATGTTGTCTCGTTTGTCCTTTTTGCAGTGGTTTGCTATTGAAAGTTGACTTATGCTATTTTGAAATATTGCGATTACCAATTGGGCTGCATTTTCATAGCGTCGTATTTAGATAAAATGGGCTAAACCGAAAAACTATGAAACAATGATAATAAGTAAACATATAAAAGTACTATATGGACTGTGCTTAGAATATATAGAAGTAGTTAAAGATTTCTTATGAATGGCAATTTTATATAAATTTTTTAATTTAATGCCATATATAGTGCATAATATGCAAAAATATAAATATTATTTAAACTCGCTAATAGGTCATGTTGCCAATTCTCTTTTCTGAAGTGAACATCAGACAAATTCTTCAATTTCTGATTTTTAGCAAATGTTGTGAGGAAGCAGCTTGTGGGCAACATACAAATGGTGGGATGGTAGGATTTTCAGTGATACAAATTGTAAAATTGAAATTTTGCTGATTCTTCAATTTTACTGAAGACCTTCAAATTCAATTTCATTCATTTTTATTTTCGCGCATTTACGGTAGGAATTCTATATGAAAACCAAATGTGGTTTACCAGGCGCACACAAAAAATAGCGCGGCGCAGAGTTATGAACGAACGCACTTTGCTTTGAAGCAGACGCACGTTCCTTATGAATGAATTTGTTGCCGTTGTAATATGAAATACTTAGAAAATAAGCTGCGAGTTCGCTTGAATATTATTGGTCGATGATGGTGCGTCTACGTTTTTTTGTCACTTGCGCGAATGTTTGATTTTTGCGAAAGACATATTGAGGTACATTCATATGTACATATGTGTACATATATGCAAATATATTTGGACATGCGAATGAAGGAAGACAATTTCAAGAATATTTACATATAGACATATGAACATTGAAGCAAGTAAACAACAATAGCTGTTTGAGTTCACAAATTAGACAAACTGGCTTAAATATTGTCTGTGGTGCTGCTTGTATAGCAGACTTGTTTATTGCAACGTGAAATATTTTGCCTAAGTTCAAACCCTATCATATTTTATATAGTCCTTTTTTATTTTTATAACCCTTTTTATGAAATGATATTTGTATTCTATTTTAATATAATTTCCCTTATTATTTATATTTTCTTGTCGGAAGTCAATTACTTTCGTTTTTATTATTTCAATTTTTGTTTATGCGCATATCAAAGAACATCTGTGCATATGTATGTGTATACATTTTGCTTATAGAGTGGTGTAGTTCGTTGCGTACCCTGATAGGTGTGGTGACATTTTATTTTCGAACTTGCGCGTTTTCGATGTTCCTTCATCGTAATTAACATTTTAGTACAGCTAACATTTGCTCCTTCTCTATTCATTAACATTCTCTGGTTAAGCGAAATCTTTTTGAGTACTAATTTGTAATTCTACATGAGGGAACATCGAAAAATATAACTTCGAAAAAGAAAAATGCACCACGCAATGTGCGAAATGCTATAAATAGACACAACAAATATTCCTATATGAAAAATCGTTGTGCATACCTATTTAGATTTATGTTTTCAATTTCTATGATATGACAAATTTATAATTATGAAAAGCCTTTTGAATTAAAAAGGAGGATTACTGGCAAAAACCCCAGAATTCATAATAAAATAACCTTTGATATGCATGTTTTCCAACTTTTGTATGTGCGTTGCGTAAGCAATATACTTATTAAACAAATGATAATAATAAAACTGTGGCTAAGCGGTCGCGTTTCCATTTATATAGTCGCTTAGGTCGTAGGCGTGAAGGAGTTAAGATCAATCCGAATACTAGCATATACGTTCGAATCGTAAAATACATAAAATTAAAATTTTATTTAATTTTTTTATTTTATTAATTGGAATTAATTAGCATATCTCAATTCAATTACTTAAATAGCATATTTTACTTCCTGATATAATTAAAATATATCAAAAAATATGTTCATATGTTTGGGATATATAATATGTCTGTATAGCGGATTTTTTCATTGCAACGTGAAATATTTTGCCTAAGTTCAAATCCTATCATATTTTTATATACTATTTTATTATTTTTATAACCCTTTTTTATCGAATAATATTTTAATTCTATTTTCATATTATTTCCCTCATTATTAATATTTTCCTGTCAGAAGTCAATTTCTTTCGTTTTTATTATTTAAATTTTTGTTAATGCGCATTCTAAAGAACATTTGTGCATACGTATGTATATACATCTTGCTTAGAAAGTGGTGTAGTTCGTTGCGTAAATTGATAGGTGCGGTGACATTTTATTTTAGAATTTGCGCGTTTTCGATGTTCCTTCATCGTAATTAACATTTTAGAACAGCTAACATTTGCTCCTTCTCTACTCATTAACATTCTCTGATTATATTTGCAAAAAAATGAAGAACTATTGCACTAAGTCTGAAAACTTTTGTTCGAAATAGAGACACAAATACTATCATGATAGCTGTGTACTGTTTCAAAAGTAATTGCATTAACACGGGAAGGATCCATGTTTGAAAATGCCCAATCAATTTGTATACCGGCAGGTGTAGTTGAATATTCTGCACCAAACAGGGAACTAAAGTTTTTTTCTTGGAGCAGATTTTTATTGCAGTCCTTGTAGACATTAAACAAATGTTAAAGTCTCCAACAATTACCACATTTTGATTGCCTAACTCAGAAGTAAGGACTTCCTGAAGTTCTACAATTAAATGTCTGTCAGAGAAAGCTGAATTTCTATATAGAACCAGAATATTAATACTGAAACATTTAAACAAAGACGCTTCTAAAACTTTGCGGCCTGAATAAATTTTCTTTACAGCTTTTGGTTCTATAGAGCAAGCAATACTATGCTTTGCATATATTATAATGCCCCGTTTATTTCTGTTGGTTGTTTCCGTGCTATCTATCCTCAGCTCGTTAATTGGAGTAAATCCTGGTATATCAAAACCTTCGCAAGGATAAC